TGGGATGCGGATTCGAACCCGCGACCCTCAGATTGTGAGTCGAGCGCCTTATCCACCTGGCCATGCCGGGCACACATACAAAAATACTACACACGTGTTTACATGGAAACTTACATTTTTCAAAATCATTACAGCTACATGACGCATTGTCAAAATCCTCTATGTAATAATCAGTAGAACTGTGTACACTTTGAACTCTAAACAATCCCTCAGATATATGTTAATGTATCCAGGATAGGATTCAGGTTGGGCCAAAGGGTACCGTGAGAGAGTATGTTGGATAAATATTCTTGGGATATTATTGTTATATTTGCAAGAGGAAGTAAGTATTAAGGCAACATTGTCTAAATGAGTCACCTATATGTTGCTAAATTACTATTTTTAACATTCCATTCAGAAGTTTGCCGGTGTTTTTACACAGGTAGGAATGTTTGAAGCGTTTGTTTTAACTTTGTATACAGTTATTTGTTGAAACATTAACGATTTTGACCCCCCCAAACAATACTTTCTTTAATTTTTATTATTTTCCCTGTATTGTTCTTTTGTTGGTGATCAAACAATAGCACAGATACCACGTTACAACTCTTCTTTAACCATCCATACCCGGTCTCTGTGGGATGTACAAAAATATACAAAGCTTTCTGAGAAGGTACTTTCAATGGCATTTATTTCTGCTTTATCAAAATATACCATCTAATAATCTGAATTCTACCCTGAATTGCATTACATAAAAACAGTCAAGGCTTCAGACGTATCCAATTGAATATCGAACGTTCCAACAACCTTGTAAACGACGTTTGTTTTTACAGTAAGACAAATTAATAGCATGGAAAATTTTCTGGCTAGTAGGTAGCATCTAACAAGCAAAGCTTCTTCCCGTAAGTTAAGTTAGTTAAAGTTAAATCCTTGCCATGCTTGTGCAAAGCACACAGAGCAAGTGATTTCGAACTCCTGTTTCAAGTGGCAGAACCGGGTGAGAATGGTCATCCATTCCTTCTGGACGCGGTGCTAGTACATCGCAATTAATCTCCATCTAACTGCTAGTACCCATCATATAGCTGAGTAGATTGAAACAAGTAGGATAAAATGTCTTACTCCAGGACACAACAGCATGACGTGGGCGAGTTTCGAAATTGCAACCCTCTGCCGACGAAATCAAAACGAGAAGCCACTGAGCCACGCTGCCTCTTTTTTCTCCTCCCGAGTCAGAATATTATTTTCCCACTCAGTCTGGTGGCAAAGCAAGCGGGCTTGTATGTTATTCAATCGTTAGCTTCTTGTGATTCATAGCATTAAAAAATAATTTATAATTTGGATATTCCAGTTTCTTTTTTCCCTATCATTTATGCGAAAGAATTATGAAATAATTTTTTTTTTTAGTTTAAAGATTGCAAGACAAATAAAGTAGTAATGTTTTTTGGTGAAATATATAATTACTGTTGTTGTATGCCTCATTTAAAAGGATATTTTTCAGAATAATATCAATGAAGAGTTCTATCAAAAGTTTTATATTCTCTCAACAACACAATGAATCGGTTTGATTAAATCAGGATGTATATTCTGACTCATCTTCATTGCCTTTTGTAAATGAGAACGGCTTTCTTCAGGGTTACATTTATGAAGAAATACAAGATGTTTTGGGTTGGCTGCAGTAACTGTGGCATCTTTCCGTATCTTCATAGCTCAAGTAGAAATAATAAAATGTCTCATTTTTACTAAACAAATAAAAATACACAAGAGACAATATGAAAAAATTAATATCTTAAAATGATAAGCAGGTTATAAAGTTTAGCAATAGTTTTTATTGTAAAACTGGTATTTTACCATTTATTAAATTCTTAATAAAATATGCACTTACTTGCTGCTTTGTTGTTTAACGTGACTTAATATCCACCGAAAAGTGAGAGTAGACTTTAACAGTTTTAACTGTCATTTTAGCAAGACAACCCAACTTTTTGTAATTTGTTAGTAGCAATAAAAAAACAAACCAAAGACTTGTAATTTGGCAGTGGCTTGGACTATGCTTTCTGTAATGCCAAAGGAAGATATTAGTAATAAAAAGTAAACAGGGCCTATCAATACTTTAAAAGGGGAAACAGGACTTATAATACCCTCATTCACAATTTGAGTTCCAATCTCCACTAACTTTATGTTTTCGTTTTTACATCCGAAATAAGAGGGTTTCGGACTGACTGTTGGTTGTGTTGCTACATGACAGCTTTTGGAAACTTCTTTCACATAGTGCGTTTTGGTGGAATGCTTACCCTTGTTTGAGAAATCAACCAATTCGGTTACTTTTGGCATCTGTTGCATTTTAAGTCCACCAAACTGCATTTTTATTGGTTGCCACACTTTTACCTATTGACAGACGTATGCCCTTTCGATTGGCTTGCCATTGTTTGTTAGACGCTGATTGCAATTTCTTTGAACAGTCAAATAAACAGCCTTTCATTGCGATAATTATGTTTATTGATAACCAAATTTCATATCTCCTTAGAAAGGCTGCTAAATCTTTCTTTTTTTCGCCCCCTATCTTAGAGAGTAACTGTTATAAGACTATATCTTTGCGCTTAAAAAGCGTAAACAACTACGTAACACATCACATTACCTTTTTTTATACATATACTAGTAAATGAAATGTCCTACAAATGTGCACGAGATCCGGATAAAGTCGCGAAGTAAAGTAAATCAAAGTAAAATTCCTCTTTTCAGTTTTCCAAATCTCCTTCTTACGACACTACTTTCTCAGAAACATAGTAAAAGCAATTTTAGAAAAATATTTTTCTTCAACAATGACAAAATATAGTGTTTAATTCTGAATTCACCTTCCCTTTCTTCTAAATAAACTACAATTTCAACAGATATATTTATAACCATGCCTTCTTAGTTAAAAACAATTCGAGGGAACGACAGAAGAGATGGGTACAGCGTATGTAGCCTATTTTGTAGCTTTACGCTTAAAAACAAACATACAAACCCCAATTAAGTAATAAATGACAAATCGTAAAATTAATTTCATTTCTTCCTTCTAGTGGTAAGTCTGAAAGTTTATAATGGTAAAAACAGGGTTTCGATACTCGTAGTGAGCAGCCCATTGTGTAGCTTTGTGCTTAAGAAACAAATAAACGTTTTGTTTCATTTACTCTGTTTTTATTAATAAAATATTTTTTTATCTAATGCATGCGTTGAGTGGAAGGAATATTTTAATACTTAAGCATTTATATACTGTCTTGATATTCCACATTATGTTTAATAAACTAAGGTTAATCTCTACATATACATTGTATATACAATGCCTTCGTAGACTGCAAGGTACAGGAAAGACCAAATAATGTTATTATTCTAACCTAAGTTATTTCTACGAGGATCTGAATTTTTTATTTAGAACTTTTGATTATAAGTAGTTTTATTTCAACATTTAAACACAATAAAATTACACAGTCTACCTATCACACCACGGACAAAAGCAGGACGCACGTTCTATAAAGTTAACATCATTAAGAACAACGAGCTTTTTGTTTCGATCGACTTCATCAAAGTGTTACTTTTAATCTATTTAAACAAACGTGACAGATAGACTTGTCATTTTACTGAATTCGTACTTTTTTATCTGACTTATAGCTTCAGATAACATCATTGAGCATCGATAACATCATTGGAATAATTTTCTCCCAATCTATGACTTCAAATTTATATATTTCTTACACTTTATTCGTGCTTTTTTTTGGGGGGGGGACTTCAAGACGAAATGTGATAGCTAAACCACACATATTAGTGCTAATAAGTCTATTTGAATATATTACTATATTAATCTAAAACTATAAACTACGATGCATTAGAAAAGGCTCCCCATCACAGGTTGCAGTCATGTTTTTAAATATTTTTATAATATGCAGTTAATGAAGAATAAATAAAATTACAATCCCATATCTTTTTCTACTATCATCTGTTTAGAGCCTATTTTTCTGACTAAGGAATGACATATTAACTTTTAATATATGCAAACGTATGACGAATATTCTCTAATGCTTATTGATGATCAAGCTTCCAATCTCGTAACTGCTTTCCAGAATAACATTTATGTGACAACACTTTCCATTTCTTACGATATACTTTCATAATAAGTACACAGTATATCCGGAAAAGGTCTTTTCTGGATTAAAATGGAGAACAAAGACTGATACTTTTTTTAGATTTTTTTACTCTTTAAAATTAAAACCAAATTTATCGATTACCAGTGGTGCCCAAATCAGTATCGCTTAGTTTTGAATGATATTAGGGCATATGTTCTTGAGAGTAAAAACAAGCAATTTTGGTCTAAACAAAAAATCAAGGTTTTTACAACGATATTCTTCATGGAGCAGCAATGTTCATTGGCATGTATTTTTTGAGCTTTGTGTCCTAATATTGTCTTCTTGGTTTCGAATTCTTTTCGTTCTTGTTTTCTCAGAAGGCACTGTACATCAAATCTGCACTAGATCACTGATGTACAGCCTGTATTCAGATCAATTTTTCACTCAAGTTTGCTCTAAAGTACTTCAAAATCCAGTACTTTTTTTTAATCACACTTTCTTTGAGCCACATAATACAGAATACACAAAGAACAATAAAACGAAAATCAACATCCGATGGTTCTGGTGTAGGAAATTGGCAGACGAGCTAAAAACTGGGCAATATGAACACTGGTACGAGCCACATACATCACAGATGTCCAAATAGTACAGACTGGATGCGTCAAAGATTGTTTGGTTGTAACGTTCTGAACAAAAAAAATATTAGACAATTATAGTAGAATCAAAACATCTTAAACCCGATATAATTTTTAGTGCTTCGCTTTAAAAACAAAATACCCTTCTCACTAATATATTTAATAAATACTCTTTTGGTGGCACAGTGATAGGCTTGAGGACTTACAACGTTGAACATTGTAGTTTAATCCCTGTGATAGGCTTGATGACTTACAACGTTGAACATTTTAGTTTAATCCGTGTGATGGGCATAGCGCAGATAGCCCATTGTGTACATCAGCGCTTAGCAACAAACAAACAACTTAACAAATATATCATCAAAAATCAAAATACGTCTGTCTAATTTTAAATAATATTAGTGATTTTACACTCTTCATAATTTTTGTGTTGTTTTTTTTGTGCAGATACACAATCCTAACGGTTTAATATTTGAATATAAAATCTTTCTAGATATAATAAATCAAACAAATTTAGTGCTTATTTTGGAAGACTACGTGTCCTAAAATTGAAACTATGTTTCTAAACTGCCTGTGTGACACATTTCATTACGAAACTGTAAAACTGTTTTTGTTACAAACAGAAACAAAGCTGTTTCTAACTACAGATGATGAGTTCATCAATCAAAACATCATGGAAAGGGTCGTTTGTTGTGAAGCACAAACCACCACTGAGCCACCAGGGGTCCTTATAGGAAGAAATCACATGCTTATTAATAGATTAAAGTTCATACTTATTTTCATTGTTATAAAGAAATGGACATTTTTTAAATATAGACTACTCGAAGGATGTGTTATTCTAACAACTAAAATAAAAATAGCATAACATAATACCATAATAACATAATACTTAACTTGTATTCTAAAACAAAAGGCCCAGTATGATCAAATGATTAAGGTACTCGACTTGCAATCTGCTGGTCACGGGTTCGAATCCCCGTCTCACCAAACATGTTCGCCCTTTCAGCCATGGGGGCGTTATTATGTGGCGACCATTTTCCCTATATTTCGTTGGCAAAAGAATAGTCCTAGGTGGTGGGTAGTTTTAACTAGCTGCCTTCACTCTAACGTATCACTTCAAAATTAGGGACGGCTAAAACAGGCAGTCCTAGAGTAGCTTTGCGCGAAATTCATCTAACAAACAAAATCTGATCCAGGAAACTGCGCTAACAACTAGGCTTAACAAGATTATGTTTTGATATGAAATATATAAGAGACATAAAAAATAGAAAATAACACAACAACGATAACAGTCATTATGTTCACCATTATCACGGATATTAGTTTTATTAAATGGTTTAATTTGATTTTGATTGGTCTATCTGTGCTGTGTCCACAAAATTCATTGAAACCTGGTTTCTAGCGTTATAAGTTCGCAGACATGCAACTGTGCCACTTGGGGTCTTTACAGAATGGAGGAATATGCTTTCCCTTTTCTTGCAGATTCGCAATTACTGACATAAATGAGCATCTATGTAATATTTTAGGTTGTAGTGAAGCATTGAATACATCTCAATAATTATCAATCCAAACTTAGCTTTTTATTGTTTATGAATCATGATGTTGCAAGATCGACAGAAAAGTTAGTGTGGAAAAAGAAGCCCAATAACCCGAGGGTTTTGGAAGGTGGCCATTTACTCAGTAGATGTTGTTGTTGTTTGTTATTAATCTCAAAGCTACACAATGGACTATTTGTGCTCTGTCCACCACGGGTATCGAAACCCGGTTTCTAGCAGTATAAGGCTGCAGATATACCGCTGTTCCACTGGGGGCTACTCAACAGAGATTAATTATAATAGGTGTAAAGAAGTAAAAAAAATAAGTTTACGAATTTACAACGCCAATATCAAGGGTTCAGTTTCCCGCGGTGGACAGATCGCAAGTAGCCCATTGTGTAGCTTTGCGCTCAAAATAAACAAACAAACCCTATTGTCTAAATATATTATATATACACACACATATACATATATTCGTGTGTGTGTGTGTGTGAATGGATCACAAACATTGAAGTTTCAGTTTCAAGCTGGAATGCGTTTTAGTGGCGAATAATATAGAAAAGTTAAAACGTTTACCAAAAACAGATCTTAGAAAAAAAAAACATGCATCGCATAGTATACTCTTGAGAACAATGTCTGTCCTGCAACAAAACAAAAGTGGCGTAAATTAGTTTACATTTTTACATAATGTCTCGGTATATTCTCGTCTTATTGACAACTAATAGTAATGTGAATTATTCTATATTTTTAGTATTTTTTCTATACACTTTTGTAAAATAAAAATTACTTTTCACGCTTCCTTTTAATTTTAATTTATATAGTTATCCAAAGGCTTAAGTTTTTAATATTCATTACAATATATATCTACACTATCTAAAATATCCTTGAAATAACTACACAATCAGTTATGAAGTAAAAAAAAAAGTATTTTTGTTTTCATAAATAAAAGCGGATACCTGGTGTATAATAATCAAATATTTTGACTTCCAAGTATCTTGTCATATTGGCCACTGGATGCCACCTTTTCACAGTAAACGAAACACACGTTTCATAAGAATCTAACTGTGAGGAACAAAATAACACGTTTCATAAGAATCTAACTGTGGGGAAAAAAATAACACGTTTCTTACTCAAGGGATCCTTTAGACATAAAAATGTTAGTGTTAGCTAACATAAAGTATTAAAAATGATTTTAGACTATAAAGCTTATTAAATAACATATAAAAATGGACACTTTCATTACATTTCTGTTGTTGCTAAATAATTATTTATGTTGGGGCTCTTAGTTAGACAAAAGTTTCTCTTTTTTTGATCCTTTCTTTTCTGTTTTTAAGTTAATTTTTTTTGCCCCTGTTTTAAGTAAACCGAAACATCTTGGCCGTTTTTTTCTTCTTATCATTTTATCGGTGATTGTTTCAAACTTTCAAAATCGTGAAAAATGTATTCTTACATATTCAAAGTAGAAGGTAACTCTTCTTTCCTTGGTTTTTGCATATCGCAAATTCTTAACTACGCCAGTTTGAACATAATTATCTAACTCTTGCTGGTGAATTCCATATCCAGTTGGAATGTCTATTTGCAATACCGCCAGTCCACTGGCACGGCTCTCAGCTTGGTTAGTCCAGCTACAAAATAGGAAACGTAAAAAATAAAAGACAAAAAACAAACAAACCACAAGTGTTGTTTTTTTTCCACTTATAACAAACAAAGTATACCAGAATCTGAAGAGTTCAGTTCAGCTAAAAAAAACATAAAATATCATATTCAGTTATATATGGCAGTGTCCTGCTAAGGATCCGAGACAAAGAAGCTTAGTCTAACTAGAAAATCATAAAATATTTTCACTTACACAGGGTAGTGTCCTGCTAAGAATCCGAGACAAAGAAGCTTAGTCTAACTAGAAAATCATAAAATATTTTCACTTGCACAGGGTAGTGTCCTGCTAAGAATTCGAGACAAAGAAGCTTAGTCTAATTAAAAAAATCATAAAATATTTTCATTTACACAGGGTAGTGTCCTGCTAAGAATCCGAGACAAAGAGGCTTAGTCTAACTAAAAAAATCATAAAATATCATATTCACTTACACAGGGTAGTGTACTGCTAATAATTCGAAAAAAGGAGGAGTTAGCCTACCTAAAAACATACATTATCAAAAATTGTTTAAGTAAATTAATATTTGTATATCTAACAAACACGAAATATACAAGGCACAGTATTCATTTAAAACAAATCAGTTAACATAGCGTACCATTATATTTAATGTTCATCATAAAAATCACTTTATCTTGTTGATTCAATGCTTGGTATTACGAATTTTAGCCTAATGGTTTCCAGTGCTTCAGTTTTGGGCGTTAAACGCCTTAATATAAATGTAATTTGTCCTGCTTTATAAAACACGAAATACATGTACATACATCTAACCAAAATGTTTAAAATTTCAAGTCAACATTAGCGGAGAGTTGTCTAGTTATAAAACAGGCAGAAATAATATTGGCACAAGTAGAAAGTGTTGTCAACTCTCCAAGAAACATATTAACGTAAGTGATGATTTGTTACTGGGTTTAGCACAGTTGAAAGATTTTGTTTGTTTGTTTTGGAATTTCGCGCAAAGCTACACGAGGGCTATCTGCGCTAGCCGTCCCTAATTTAGCAGTGTAAGACTAGAGAGAAGGAAGCTAGTCATCCCCAT